AGGCCAACGGACGGATGGGGCGAGCAACAAGCGGCTGTGGCTCGAAGAGGCTAAGCTCTAATTTTCTCACGTACTTGTAAATTTTGCGGAAAACCGCAACAAATTCACTTATAAAAGTAATCTAGAAAGCTCGTACACAACCGGAAGCACGCAAAAGGCGCGGAAAGCACGGCAAAAATCCTGGCCAAAAGGGGATGCGAACACAAACCTAAAAGCGGAGCAAGAAAAAAGGAACAAAACGCGCACAAAACTCGTCGTCGTGTAAAGAATTGCGTTTGTCGCGACACGGCGACAACTTTTTCTCCGCAAGATGTGGAAGGGGGAGTGGCACTCAGGACGAAGGACCTGGCTTAAAGCGACCCCCACTTTATCACAGATTTAAAACGAAATGAATGTAAGCACATTAAATGGCTTGGACTCGGGGCTCCCATTAAAGGTTCATAGTCAAGGACTTCAGAAGATGTCACCCGCGGGGTGGCCCGATTGTCCTGCAGGACGAAATAGAAAAGTTTCAAATGCAAAGTTAGCTTAGGAAACAAGAAAGGATTTAATTGGAGAGCGATTTGTTGGGCGGTTAAGAACAAGACAAGTTGCTCTTATCATTTCGGTTGATTTCCAGCCCTCAGGGAGAAGAAAATTCTCAAATGGCTTGTGTTCAAGAGTGCTGGACTCGAAATATATTAGACATTCAAAGGCTTTGAACTGAAACATTAAAATTGTACCAAAAAGTATACAAATCAAACGTTCTAAGAATTATTTTATCTGCCCATTACGGTTAATACGAAATTGGTTCAATTATTTAATTAAATTGATCTAAGTGGTTTAAATATGAATTGGCTTTCTCTTGAAAACATGTTGAATTGTTCCAAATGAGATTGCGATTCCCAGCTTATATTTGTCGAAAAGTTTTGGCGTATTACCAAAGTTTATCCCGCTTATCTGGGCTATTAGTTGAAATTCCATTTGAAGTCGCACAATTCCAATTGTGGCTCTATTGTGTGGATTGTTTGGATGGTATGTTTTCGTGCTCATTTCTTTGATATCTTCGCTCAATGGAGGGCTTTGGTAGCTCGAAATTTTCAGTAAATGAATATTAAATAACCTGATAAAGTTGTACCAAACAGCAACCCACTGTCCAACCACGAAATATTCCCACATCCCCAAAGGCTATGACTGCAATTAGAAGAAGAGAAAATGCCCCGAATATCTGATACCCGTTACTCAGCTTGGGTATTGGGTAGCTTGATCTCGACATTTGATATATATAATCTATATGATTGGAACCGAGTCCTTCTAGCTGTTACATACTTTTTAAACGAATCTAGTATACCCTTTTACTGTACGAGTAAAGGATATAATACAACTTTTTCTGTTCAACATTCTTTACAAGCGTTGAAAGTCTGAAAGTCGGTCGCAACAAATCCAATTTTCAGCTGCAAGAAAAAAGTTAAATTATCAAAAGGAGGAAATAAATTGTAGCTCAGCGAAAAGTTAGGACTCCAGCGAGGACAATGCCAGGATAGGGCAACCAATCCCGTACTTCACTTCACTTCACTCCATTCCATTCCATAACGAGCCCCGCAGCTATGTGTCACAATTTTCCGGCACGGGTCCTCCGTCGTTATTAACAGCTGATGGCGAAGAACAGGAAAACTTTCGGCTATGCTTTTAATCAACTTTTCCTTGGCATTTGCCATTTGGTATTTATGCAAATGGCAAGCACACAAATATTGAGTGGAATGGCCCCGGCCAATAGCAACAAATTTCAATTATGCCATCAAATCTATTTAGGTGAATAAATATTTGGGAATTTCCGGCCACCCCATCCCCACTGCCATTCCCATTCCACCCACCATGCTGTAATTGTGGCGTGTAATTTACAGATTTTCTTGTTAAGATTGTGGCCAAAGTTTGGTGCTGCTTCCTCGCCATTGTTGGTAGTTCTTTGGCCCTCGAGTAGGCCTTAATTGGCTTGCCGGCCTGCAAAGTCAATAAGCGGCATGCAAAGTATACAAGTTGCACATAAATTTCGCGTTGAATATTTGAGAATTCATTGTTCGAGTGTTTGTATGGTGGGCGCCCTTAATTTAGTTTGATTTGAATTGGTTTCAATTGTAGTCGAGTCCAAAATAAGCTTTTCCCCTCAAGAGACTTTTTCAAGACCATTAACAAAATGAAGAACTTCCTGGGCGAAGGGCAAAATAAATGTTGCCTACTTACAGGAGCGCCAAATTAATCAATTATGCGTGTGTGCGGTCTTTCAGTGCTGTACGTTTCGTTAATTAATAAAAACCTTAACAATAAGTGGACTCTCTGCAAAGGTTATATTTCTCATCAGGACAAACTTGGGACAATCATTCTACCTTGCTTACCTTAACCACGAATTGAATGGCATTTACGTGACTTACTTTATTTCATTTTCTTTTTTACAATGTTTAATGCATTATAAATATGTCAACAATTAATAAATACGGAATACTCTTTCCACTCAAGTTATTTGAGTTTTAAATTGGCGTTTATATTTTTATATGAGTCCAGTTTTTATATATTTAAAAGCGGGCTTTCAGACAGAAATCTTGAGTCCCAATTATTATAAACGCCTGATTCTGCGGATGTTGCATTGAAACTAAAGCCAAGTTGATTAGATAAATATCTGGTGAACTTCCCTACGTTACCTTAAGTACCACATCGCATCTGTACACTTCGAAATGCTTTTTCCACTCCAAGAAATCAATCATAGCAACACTTGGCCCATTCGCCACCACTGCCCCCTATTTGGCAGGATATGTTCTCTGGTCGTCCTGAAGTGCCTGGGTCATTTACTTTATTGATTACAACTTTCTCTTGTTTTTCGCAACTTCTACCACAACAAGAAAAAGAGCAAAAAAGCAACAGCAATTTGAGTTAAGCGTGGCAGCCTCCGTGGATATATCCACAATAACTGGCAGGATATCCCCATGATGACTGCAGAGGTGGAGGGCAAATGGGATCTTGGCTTACACACAAAATCTTGCCACAAATGTAGGTTTGATTAAAGCGGCTTTATTCCGGGGATAAAGGGCGGCTCGGTGGAGGGGAATTCTACCTGTGCTGGCTTCTGGCCTTATTATGTAATACCATGGAATTGCATAAATACATTTTCAATTCGCTGGCAATCACTACAAATAAATAAAGCGTAAACCGAGCACCGGGAGCAGAATAAAACTGTCATAATTTATGAAGTTTATCATTTCGTTCCTGGCTTGTCTTTTTGTCGGCGCACCCGAAACGCATTTGTGTCAATTTAAATTTATGTAAACATAAAATGGCCAACCAAAAAATAAACATCCCGTGTGAGGAATGTGGTCCTTTCTGCTGTTGTATCCCATTTTTCATTCGCTTTTGGTACTCTTCTTTTTACGTGGGGTATTTTATTACAGTAATGTAATTCAAACTTAAAAAAAATTTACTCCGCTTTCAAACTTAGTTTAATAAATACAGTTTTCAGTTAAATATTAACTTTTTTTTAAAATAATTTTGTCATATTTTGCTTTGCTTGATATTACGTAACTTTGTTTAATGCCCATTGCCAAGAGAGGCCTTTTTCTTGGTTATTCGAAGAACTGCTTACAGTTAAAACGTTTTTTTGTTTAAAAAAAATTAAAAAAGAGTAAACAGAATCCTGAAACCAAGAAAATTCCCGGAAATTTGAGCCTCCTCAGTTATTCTCCAACGAGTCCCCTTTTCTCCTTTATGATTTAAAGCGCGCGGCACGCCGTGACGTTCACTTAGGCATGGACAACACAATAAAGCTCCACAACAGCCTGAGGAATATCAATATGAGACTGGGCAGGAGGGTCTGGAGCGGAGGAGCCAAGGAACGGGAACAGGACAGCGGGATACGCTTTCCGCCTGCGCACTTTTGACATTTCATTATCCTGTTAAGTATTCAAAAGTCAAGGAAGCGGGCACAGCGAGCAGCAACCAGGATGGGGATGGGCACTTGGTGGGGATGTCTGGGCCGTGGCCAAGACCTTTAAGAGGGGAATGTCCTGCTGCGTTACCAGCTTATCAGTTATGCCAAACGCGTTCTTTTTGGCTTTTAGTCGCATCCCGCCCCCTGGCTGCTTTCTTCGCCATTTGTTTTGTCTGCCCTTAATGCCATGCGGAATTGCCTTTGTGTCCCTGCCGTTTATGACATTGTATTCGAATCTCTGTCTGTATGGGTGCGTATAAATTACATTGCATAACAAGCAATATAACAAACGATAACAAACACCTTGCCGCACACACTTGCACATGCGATAGCAACAAGGAAACGACAATGAGCAAATATGAAAAAATGTGGCAGAACGGCAAAAACAATTTAATACAAATGTTTCAAAGACTTCGATTCGGAAATATCTGCTTTATGGCCAGCCATTTGTTTGTGCCAAATGTTAATGATAGCTCAATATCTCATTTTTGTGTGCGGCTAATAAAAAATCAAACGCACTCTGTCTGCCGCGAATTTAATTTGCAAAAAGTCCTAAATCCATTGATAGGAACTAAAGTCAGAAATTTAGTTAAGCCGCTTTCTAATTGGATTTGAATAAGCCTGAACAACGCCAATTAACGTTGCTATAAAAGGTTTTACCAAATACATAATATGATTTTGCACGGCCTACTGATTTTAAGCCAGAAGGGAAGTGGCAGTGGTAGAGATTCTTTATTTAAACAATTTTATTGATGTCAGATGCATTGCTGCTTCAAAAATCGTTCAATTAATTTGGTTTCTATGCATTTTTAGTTGACCAACCCAATTGTCTGTCAAGTAAATTAAACAATCGATTGAACCGCAAAAAGTCAATTAAAATCTTCACAGAAACTCCAGTTGAATAGTGGTTTCGGGCAATTTGCCGGCGCAGCCTCTCAACGCCTCTCTCTAATCCTTAAAGGGTCCTGCAGATCTCCGTCCGGGCGTCTCAATAAAGCAATCAGTGTGTACCAACTCGCTATATAAATTTCATTTTCCCTTGCAGGTCACCCGGGGAGGAGGCGAATCCTTGGAGCGGGAGCAGCCAATGCAACCTGCACAGACATCATTAGACGTGAATAGCAACCACACGTGAGTAACTTGGGGCCTTTGCGCCCGCAGACAAACACAGACTATATCGACACTGTATATCTCGGACATGTGTCGGCCATCAACTTATGCAATCAACGATTTGGCTTTGACCGGGCAAACTGACTGCCTGCCGCTGGGTGCTATGTAAACGGGCCAAAGACGGTGGCCCAAGGAGCAGCAGCAGCAGCAGCAGCAGCAGCAGCAGGACGAAAGGCGAATGTTTATTTAAGCATAAAGCCACGTACGCCCTGACACACACATGCCCATCCCGACACTGAGATTAATTCCAGGGAGGGGCTTACAAAATATATAATTTACATTAAAAAAAGCTAACACACACAGCAAGTGCAGCTTTGTTTCAACTTTAGTATGACAGTTGAGTGTAGTATGAGTTTGATTATAACAGTTTCGATAGATAGCATTTTCAGCTCGTTCACTATAGTGAAGTTTTATAAGAGTATAGGATAAGAGTATGTATAAGAGTATAAGGATATAGCTGTTATCAGAATCCAGCAGGTTCGGCTTAAAAATACACACTTTAATATACGGGCATTCTGCTTATCCCAGTTGATCAGAATGGAGCATGTGCCATATTTTAGAAAAATACAAGCGTGAAAATTGTGCTCTCTGTACTTCGGCTGTCCTTTGGTGTGTTCTTTGTGAGCTATGTACTTAGGCACAGCTGTACTTGCAGTCCTTGCCTGGTAATTACATAAAGACTACGGAAAAGGACTCCTCTCACCCGAAGCAGGACCACTCCTCCTCTTCGGGGGCGGCTGGATAAATATTTGGTTTAACCTTTTTCCTTTTGTGCGGCTTTGTATTTGCCTTTGGTTTTATGGCAGCGCCTGTGTCACTATTTCATTTCGATTTGAGCCGAGTTTGCCGCAGTCCTTAGCCAGATTTGTATCCTTAATTTATTTGTTTGCGATTTTCTGATATTTTGTAATTGAGTTTTTCCTTTTTTTATGCTGATGAGGGTTTAGCCAAAACGCCATAAAAGCTGTCAAGAAATAGGCAAAGCAAACTGTTGATATTCATTGGACAGGACACGTTCACAGGCCGGATATTTATGTCAGGACGTGAATGTGAACGGAATATGTCCCCTGGGAGGATGGGAGGAAGTACTCAGCATCCCTGGTAGTCTTAATTTATCGCTGTGAATGAATCACTTGGCTCAGACTTTGTTTCTTGAAGGGACACGTACCTCTGGCGACAGGATATACTTTTGACTTCATTTGATTTCGCCAGAATGAATTTCAATTAGCTGTAAATGAAATTTCGGGTCGTTAAGTGATTCGCACGGAGATAAAAGGGTTTTTAACTAGCTCTAACGGATGATGTCTTACATTAAAGGCAAATTTCTCTTTCTTCTCTGTTCCCAGATGGATTGTGATTTGTATCTCGTAGTTTTCCACACCCATACTCCACTTTGCCTGCCGTAAGCCTTTGTTAAGCACCAACACTTAACTGTGTCATGCTCGGATTTATGGCTCCAAGAGGACTTCGCATCCTTCAGATACCTTCTGCACACCCCCAGCTTCCTAATCTGCACTATACGAGCTGTTAGTTTTCCGTTTTTCCGTTCGGGCCCAGAGCTGATTGATTTCTGTTCTAGTCGGGCCAAAGAGCAGTCTAAGCCCACCCGCTCACATCCGCCACTCCACTAGTCTGACAGTATATTGACGCGCAGTCATAAATAAAAACACTCAGATATTCATGCCAATGATTCCTTCTATTTTTTGCTGCTCTGAATGCGACTATCGTCTGTTGTTGTTCGTTGAGTAGAGCCTGCGGCAGAAAACCCCCAACCAAATAACTGTTGTATCACTTAATATTGGTAGACTCCAGGCTCCATTGATCTACACCGAAAAAAAGGATTCACGATATTCAGGATTCAGGATATTTATACCACTGTGATTGATTAAAAACAAATGTTAGACAATCATGAAGTTGATTTATAATACATCTTATTTAATATTGCCATTACAATTGATTTAATTTGAAACTTTTCGAATAGCTTTAATCCTTGTTTTTCCGTGTACCCATGTTGCATGTTGCCGTTGCCTGGCTTTGCTACATTTGCAGTGTGTTTGGGATGGGATCGGTGTTCTTGGCATTCTTGAAAGCTGAGCGTTTTGTTGATGATTTGCGTGTTCGTGAATAATTGATCGAATGACAATATTTCGATGTGTCAGCATTGTTACGCGTTGTTATCAGCCCGAAAAGTGGCATAAACATGCCGATGATTGCGTTCATCATCATTATGAGGCGAGTGCCAGTGTTTTCATCGTTGACAGCGGTCGTTGGCATCGTGTGTGTTCTGAATAATAAGATGCTAACGTAGCAATACCCAGATATCACGGCTTATGACTGATGTGCAGTCAAACAATCAGCTCTGCCCTCCAGAAATCGGGATTTGTACTGTTTTGCATGAGACTGTGGCATGAAATGGGGCATCAGCTGCTAATGGCAGGCCCATGCCCATCATGCTCCACTTCAAAAATTAAACAAGATTAATTTGTTGGCTCGTTTAAAATGGCTTAACAATATCATTAATTTCATTGGCCAGGCCCGAGCCGAAAGTAAACATATTCGGGCGACCAAACATGGCTTAAAACCGCTTTAAACCGCATTCAACCGTCGAATTATGAGGGAGTGGTGGCCGTGTGTATCATTAATCAATCCTTGGGCAAATGGCCATTTAAAGAGGTCATAAAATGCCGTCAGCAAAGCCTCAACTTGAGGTCAGATGTTTGCAACTTGTATTTTTAGTGGGTCAAACTTTTTGCTGCATAATTTTTGGGTCCCTCTGGGCCAGCTCCGTCATTGTTGTTATCTATTCATTAAATTTAATGATAGAGCTCCCCAGAGTTGCGACACCCGGCTCTGTTTTGAAATAATCAGAACTCTGTGGCAAGCATTTTTAAACGGACTTGCTCATTTCCGAAGTGACACACACATTTTGCCCCGGATCGCCTCGAGATGAATGGTTGCTCTAGAGTCGGGATCTGCTTCCTTCCCTTTCATCATAATTATAAACACAAAACAGGCAGCAGGATGGATGGATGGTTGGTAAAATGGATGGGTTTTCACTGGGGTTCGGGTTCACATGGGTTTTCGCCACAACCCATGCCCGTGTTTGGCTCCTTTTTCCTTGCACTTTTCCCATTCAAGGCGAGCAACATGTGGCGATATGTGTTGGCCCACATTCGCCTCGCAATTAACAGATCAGAGAGTTGCATCCTCTGCATCCTCTGAGCTCTGAGCCACATACATTAAGGGGCTCTTCTAGGACCTGTGATTCGGGCCCTCCTTTGTTAACTGCTCTCATGCGCCTCGTTGGCCTTTATTATTGTTGACTGTGCTGTCCTGCAGAAGTCTCCATGTCCATTTCCATTTCCATTTCCCTTTCATTCCCATTGCCCATTTACATTTCCCCCGTCATCGTTCATTGTAATTGCGATAATTACGACAAGGACTGGGTATAGCTCCTTGGTGCGACACCTTAATGAAGCAGCATTCATGCAGTCCATTGATGCAGTGCCTCCTGCATCCGAACGGCCGTTCCACATGAGTGTGTTATGAGTGATGGCCACTCATCCGTCGCCGTGCGATGTCCTCGATGTTCTCGTCCTTCCTGTTTATCCACTTAGCAGCGCACGAGGTCCGTGTCGTTAATTGAAATCTTTCGCATTAAACCACCTCCCTTCGCCACCTGCCGCCCGACATTTTGCTTTTCCACTTTGTAGCCGAGCGCTTATTGTTTTTGTTATTAAAGTTTAATTAAATACCTTTTTGAAATGCTCACGCATGAGTGGAAAATATTTTTTAATGAGCTTTTGCGCCTTTTGTGTGCAACATGAAAAAGACGCCGCTTCGAAGTTGGCCACACGGCGTATGCGTGTTCTTAGTGCGTAAATTGATTGCAAACAAAGGCGCCCACAGACAACAAGCGTGCGATATAATTACCACTCGCAGACGCAAAAGATCCACCGTAAATATATAGCTTTTCACATTTTTCATTTATCGCGAAAGTGTGAAAATGCGGCTGACTTTTGGGGCGGCTTAAGCCTCGGGGAAAACGAGAAAATGATTAAATGTGTTCATCCGCATCAATTGCAGTTTTCTCTCGGAAAATTTAACTTCCGTCGTTCATGTATCAATGGTACAAATCAATTAGCAATACTGTTGAGTGTTGTTCAAACATTTAAATGTCTCACTTTCATAGGAAAACATTGCATTTTTTCCTGTTCTATGGTATTTCATACACATAAATACCATTTAGTAATTAATCAATTAAACCTATTTGCGTAATGATGAATGAAGTGGGCATAGTATAACTTTATTTTTAGTACGCAATAATAAATTGTGACACATTCCTTTTATACTATTATGTGTGTATACAAATTTTGCCATCTGAACTAAAATCAAATGCCAATTAAAAAAGGCAAACAAAGTCAGAATAAAAGCAATATAATTACTATGCAAGTACCAGTTCACTGAGCGTTTTATCCTAGTAACCAGATTAAAAATAATCCTCTGCCGAATAACCGAATAAAAACTTCGTCTGCTGTCAGTGAAAAAAAATGATTCGTGCAAATATTAAAGGTGGGTGCGCAGGTGTGAAAACCCGTGAAAAGTGTGGAAAAAGGCGAAGGAAAAGCAAGCTGAAATGCAAAACAAAAAGTTATGGAGGGAGCTTGAAGAGCCGTAACCATGGCCGTAGCCGTAACCATTAGCCGTAACCAAAAACCGAGCCAGACATTGAATTGACCTTAATAAAGTCAACTGCGACTGCTTTGACCTTTTCTACCTTGTTTTGCCAACCAAATAATCCCATCTCTCTACTTACAGAAAATGCTGATACTGCTGCCGCTGCTTGGAATTTTTGGTAATGGTTTCCTTGCTGAAGTCGAGGCAAATCTAAGTCTGGGCTTTAAGGCCATCAAAGTGAGTTTTTGCACAAAGGCGAAGCAGCCATGAAAACCTTTATGAATACCATTAATGCTCTTTCCTTAATTATGCAATCCCATCCGCCGCCCACGGATCAGTTGCCCAGGCATCCGAATCCGGGTAAGTTCCTTAGGATTTTGGCAGTCTCCACGAACCAAATTGAATTGCACGAAATTGATGCGTATTTGCAATTGATTTGGAAAAACCGATTTACGAATCACATTTTCTGTGTGCTTCACTCATCAAAGGCCTGTCCTCTCATCATCGTCATCTCCATTAAAAGGTCCACACCGTAATGATTTTCTTAAAGTGCAGTTCCTGGCTATGGTTTTAAAAGCCCCAGGGAATTTATTTATTTCTGATATGTTGTTATGTGTAACTAAATATCAGATGTTTCTCTTTGGGTACTATTCACCATTAGTACTAATTGTTTATTGCTTGTACCATTCTGATAAAACAGGGCAAATTTAGAAGCTTCTCTGGCAGCTAAACGAAATAAAGTTACTATTTTGCCCAATACAGTCAAATGCAAAGCTTCTTTTGCTGGCAAATGAAATATTCCCCTTATATCATTTTCCGAGCAGTCGTATGCAATCGAAGAACGAACAATTTCATTAAAACTTGCAGACAGGAAATGTAATTTTTTGTTCGCATTGCAAAGTTGTAGACCCGTTTCCGAACATTTATTGTGCACCTATATTATCCATTATATCCCCGCTTAGCAGATCCCATCTCCTGGGAAAGGAAAGGTCCCACGCACACGGGCTCAAATGGCTAACTAACGAGTAAAGTGATTTTAATGGTTTTATGTTCGATTCTCCTTCTTCATTTTCCATTTTGCCAAACATTTTTTATTTTTTCGTCGAGATGTGTGTGTTCAATTCGGTTCGACATGTGCCACTTTCCATGCTCTTTTTCTGTTCCCAACGCTTTTCATCCAGTCCCCCACACGATGTCGTAGAAAGCTGTTCAAAATTAAACAGCAGTAGTCCGAACTGGGCCAGAAACTTTTCGATTCGAGGGCGTTACAACAAATTCAACCCATATCGTGCTGCCGGAATAGCTGCAAATACACTTGTATGTGTATTACACTGGCCTTATTTCCCGCCGCCCCCCGCCGCCACAGTCAAAAGTTTTGAGTCAAATGCCAATACAGTTTGTGTATGGCCGGCTCCAAAATAAAAGTTATCCGGCCAGCCGGAGCTGAGCTCCGGGCTCCCTGGCACGTAGTCCACCGACCAGTTTAGCCCTGGGTCCATATCAATGGCCCACACGATTGCGTGGCATCAACACATGAAAAGAAATATCAGGAATCGAATGTGCTTTTAGCCATTGAAAAATGTTTATAACAAGCTAACTGGAGTCTTAATCATATTTCAGACAAAATCGTCATAATTTTATGAAATATTTGGCAGTAAAATATGCTTGATGAATACTTATGATGTTTGATGAATAATATATGATGAATTTTTAAATACAAGTAATAAGTCATAGGGATTCATAGGGATTGCATATATGTACCCAGAATTTAAGATTGCACAGTTTTATGCGACTTTTTCCTCGGTGCAGACAACAATTGCTCAGGGCCTTGATTGTCCACTCAATGCGGAACAAGTTCATTTAAACTCAAGAACTTGCCCCTTATTCGCATCTTTTTCTCGGTTAAAATCGGAAAGTTATCGGAACACGGAAAATTCAGAAACGCTGTGAACTTTGCCAAACATATTTGCCAATACGTGAAGCAATGAAGAGTTCTTACAGAAAGTCAGGAACTAAAAAGTTCAATGAGCTGCAAGGATATTATTTTCACAGTAAGGCCCATTCATATAGAGCTAATGCTTCGCAAAGTTCAAAACTTCCTTGAAATCGTAAAAGCCGTGATTCGTCTTTGTTCGCTTTGAGTGTATTGCATTTTAAGTATTAGATATTAGATATTAAATTTTTGAGACTCAAATTAATTAACTAATAGTGTGTTGGCAAGCTCTTTTCTGGTCGCCGAACCTTATAGTACTGGCACGCACCTTTCTATTCCATTCTAAAATCCCTGCCAAGTGTGTTCGAACACATCCCAGGGCCATTGGCAATCTTTAGTGCAGATTTTAGTTTCTGAAGTAGAATTGGGCACAGTTTTCAGCTCTCAATCACATGTCCCAAGCAAACACTCGAGCAGCAAAAATTGCGCATACGCAGCATGGGCTGCAGACTGAAGCGTTCTTTTCCAACTTTTGTTCGGAGTGCCTTTGCTTTTTCCGTAGCCATGATGTTCCATGATCCGCTCCGGGGCCAATGTCGGATGGCACTCAAAACTTGTCGCACACGCTCGAGTGTTGTAAATCTTTGCACAAAATGAAACTTTATTTGGTCATGGTCATCAACGACTTAAGTAAATCTAAAACTCTAAGTAAAGCAAACACTGCACACAGCCGAAGAAGGAACGAGTCTGAAGGCAGAGCCTCGCAGAGGCCGCATAAAACAAATAAACTGCGCACACGTGACCCCAAACAGGGCGCAAGGCTGTGGGCGGGGCCGGTGCTGATGACCCCAACAAAGGAACACGGGGTCGCAAAAAATGTGTCACGCCATCAGAAAGGGTGGACAACCAGTGGGTGAGAGTTCATTTCGCTCGGCAGGACATCGAGCTTAGGCAGGAAATAGTCGCTGTAATTGTATATACTATGTTAATGGATGGCGTAACTTTTCAGAAAAGCTCATACCCCAAATGATAAGTGATATGTGTAAATATGTATGAAAATGCAAACTAATTAAAATTAAAATTACATACCTTAACTTTTATTGATAAAAAAGGAAAGATAATAAGTCACTCGTATCAATGAGTATAACTCTATTGTGGTAAATAAAAGGTATAGTTAAAGTTCAGTTACTCCATTTTATAAAAATCCCCTTTTATCTCAAAGCAAATTCCATTTGGTCGCGGAACATTGTTCTCATCAACTGCTACCAAGTGAAGTACCATTCGATTTCGCCCAGGAGGAAGGGGACTACCATTACTAAAGATCATTTTAAAGGTATATGGCTCCAAATAGAAAACAGTCTGCAAATAAAAGCGTGTAAGAATAATATAGAATAGCATTGAGCCACGCATACTCCTTTGTAGTTCATACACTTTTCTTGAGCGTCATTCTGGTTTATAATATGTCTCGTAAACATATCGTACCAATACTGATTCGGGTCAAGAAACCTTTTGCAAAAATCCTTGGAAGACATATTTAGTATCGTCGGTTGCCAAGAGCCACGCTCGAAACGAAGCAGATGTAACTGACCCTCAACGCGATCCTTTGGTTGTATATCCCACGTAGAGGTTACGTATCCGCGGACGTGAACACCGTCTGGACCCATTTCAAGGTTCACGTTTGAAAAATCAACCAACCCGCTTATATTCGCGTATCCCGGCGGCGGATCCAAACATTCCGAAAATATTGATTCGTCCTCCAAAACATACTCGAACTTTGCTCCAAGCGAATGTTGTGCAGCGCTTAGGAAAATTACTAATTGCCACAGCACCGAAAATTGAAGAGCCATTTCACACTTTTTTCCATATGACAAACCGTCTATTTGATGGAGCTTATATACCGAAACTCGTTACCTCGTAAAGGCAGAGGGTATGTTGGGGTATGGTAAGGGTATGTAACTAAGGTTACATGCTTAAAATACTTTCAGGTATAATGGCTTATATTGCTTTCAAATGCAAAATCAGATAGACTTTTTATGGGTTTTAAAGTTACCAACACGTTTTGTTTTTCCTAAAGAAATAAAAGTTTCTCTGCACTTTTAGTACAAGTACTGGGCATTTTATAGTCGTGACGACGAAAGCGCTAATTCTGCTTTTATTTTATCAAAGTGCTCTTGTATAGATGGTTTTTACATGATTGTGTAAAGTTGATCTTGATAATAACTGATAAAAACTGTGGTTGTAAATTGGAGGAATAGATTAATGATAACATGTACGTTTTACACAACACAAAAAATCAGATAATCGAGTAATGAGGGAGGTTATGGCATTTAATACAACTATTACCAACCAAAAAAAAAACAGTAAGCCAAAATCCAACAACCAACATTTTAGCAGGATTTTTGCGAATATTATTTTACATCCTTGTGCAGCTGCGCCGCTGTCTGGCTGACTCGCCAAGGATAAGGGATCCTTGCAGCAAATTCACCCGGACAAAGCGCCCACACAGATGCTTTTTCAGAAATATCCTTGTCAAGGGCTGCACGTCTATACCGCGTACGAGGAAAAACACATTAAGATGATTGCACTTCGGAAAATGACGCGATATCGCAGGAGTGAAGGGCGCACTACACGTAGATACTTCCGGCATTGTGCGACCTTCGCCGGCAGCTTTTCAATAATAAACGTAGATTGCTAATGTCATAAAGATGCGACAACGTGCCCATATTCATTACAATCAGCCAGCAATGCCAATTTTCGCATTAACCATTGATGCCAAATGAATGATGAGGGCCAAGGAGGCGGGCGGCCACGTCTGACTCGTCCTTTCGCAGAAGTCACGTCGCCAGTGAAATCAATTCAAAGTGGAAAAGTACAGAGCACGTACCCGATCCCCTTGCACACAAAAACACAATTGGGTGGCTCCTCTTTCGGTGCCGGTCGCTGCTCCCACAATTCCTGTCTATGGGCCAAATTCCGCCCCACTGTGCGATTGCAAATGGTCCGCCACAAGCCCGAGTAATTGTGATTGGCGGCTACACATACGAGTTTTTGGCCAGGCCAGAACAAGAACCTGCTCAAAGGCAGACACGGCAGCAGTGTCTACCAAAGCACACTGCACAAAACGTGTCCAAAGTCCTGAAAACAATTAATTCTTTTGAAATCAGGGTGCTAAAATTATATCGCAAAATGTAATGGCCACAAAAGGAGTGCGGAGCAACTCATGTTTTGCTAACGACTACTATTATCAAAAATTGAAATCAATGCACATATTTTTTCGGTGTAGAACAGAGAACGCGGCAAAAACAAACTTTAGCGGGCTAATGGGATGCCATAAAGCAGCGGCATTTGTCAATATCAATTTTGATGAGACACGAAGGCAAACGGTGGAATGGTAGCGGGTCTATTGTTTGTGCTGCAAATATGCGATTCTGGCGAAATTTATAACAAACAGCACTGACATTAATTGGGTTCCCATTCATTGGCATTACACATACGACATGTATTACGCATTTGATGACATAAATTAGCAGTGAAATGAAGGCGAAGTGAAATGAAACGAAAGGAAATGAAATGTACTCGTATAATAAACAAGTACTGGTTGCCAAACAAAACTGTTTAGCCTCGTACTGACTTTAAAGCGATAAGCTGTTTCAATTCAATTTGCCTTGTAAAATTCACCCGTTTCCATGCTCATTTGAATCTTCTATTTTCTATGTTTTCCACTACTTTTGCTGCTGACAACGATGGAAACCAACGCAACATCTTGGCTTCGGATTCGCCTGCAGCCAATTGCAGCGTGGGCAACACAACATTCGCACATGGAGTCACATTTAAATTGGATTGTAAAACCCAATGCGTTTGCGAGGTGAGTCGCGGGTACCAAAACGCAGCTTGCAGGTTGCAGGTTGCAGGTCGCAGCCGTTGGCCAAATGCTTCGGGCCATCCGCACAAAAGTTGGCCACAAACCACAGACATCCAGAGATACGTACTATACATGCAGAGATACAGATACAGATACAGATATAGATATTGGGCCACAGAAGCATTCCGGCCAAAAGCCAAAAGCGCTAGTCGTTGCCATTGCTGTTGTTTAACCTGTGCTTAGCCTGGCTCCTAGCGCTTTTAGTTTCAGCCTTCAATTTGGGCTTTTTTCTCATTTTTGGTGCGGATTAGAGGCAGCAGTTGCGCCATCTGAAAGCAAAGGGCTCTGCTGGGTTGGGATTTTAATTAAAATTTGAATATAGTGTGAAGTGCCCGGCACTACAATTGCAAAATCACACAGTAGCATTTGATAGAGACTATAATGGCGGAAAACTATTTTTCGCTAATGAGATTAAAGCAACGCTTAACAGGCAATGAATAGGGAAGGGCAATATAAAAACATTATTTGGCTGAAACAATAATTTAAATTAAATCATTCTTGTTAAAAATAACAACTAATTTGCTGTAAGATGCCTTTGCAGTTGGCTCGTAAGCATTGTTTAGCCTAAAAGACTGGAAAGAACTATGGTGATCCGTGCACATAGAACTACGATTAAAGTTCACTTTTCAGTTGCTTTAGCCCAAAATCCTTGACATTGCTTTATGGCCACAGAGAAGTTTTTTAACTGCTCCTATTCCTGGGCTTCCCTGTCTGTTTTTGGTTTGGTTTTTGCACCTTATTTCCAGCTGCGCTGGTAGTTTATCATGTGGCTAATACAAACACGAGCACATGGAATTTATGCAATGCAATTTCGTGACGATGCCAAAGATGCGGAATGGGTATGAAAAGTATCATCGGACTGTGTGAGCGCTTAGAGACGAAAAGTGGATTACAAACAAAGCTGTGAGAGTCTGCACGAAATGTTAATTTTGCCATATACCAAAGTACACGTAAGGAAACAAGCCAGCAGCAAAAGTTCGTGCCCAAGTCGAGGAGCCGGCCAACTTTGGGTCGTCCTTGTGCGATTGGGCCAATATTTTCTTTACATTATGACTTTATTTTCGGCTGCCTGGCCAAAGCTAAATAAACAACCCCACAGCAGCAACAATGGGCCACATTTAATGTATTTTAATGTGGCATTGCAGAATGGCCGCCACGCCTGCTCCACGCTCTGCCCCAACGAGCAGCTCCCGGCGCCGGAGGACACGATTTCCTGCCGATCGCCGCGCCTCGTCGAAGTTCCCGGCCACTGTTGCAAGATGTGGCTCTGTGAGAATCCAACAGCTGATGGTAAGTTGTGCTGTGCACTGAGAGAAAGCAGGTGTTTATTTGGTAATTTCTGTTTTTACAAATATATATTGTTTATGGTTTAAATTCATAGGAATTCCATTCTTGACGCCTTGTAGTTGTGCTATTTTATAGGCTGTTGTTCCCAGTGCATTCTTGCTTCCACTGCCACTGCCATGGCCTTGTTATTGTTTTATAAGTGTGTTTATGGCTGTGGCCAGCCCATTGTGTCCACTTCCCAAGCCAACCACCGCCCACCGCCCACTGGCCCGAGTTAATGGCGCTCTGGGGCGTGTCGTGCTGTGTCCGATGCGCAACTTAATGCTTTTTAAGCGCCCGAGAACCCACATCCTACCCAAAAACCGAGTGGAGAATGCAGCGCATATTTATGAAGATGAATTATTCCATCACGAGACTGGAGGCCACGAGCAGGAGTAAATGCTGGAGCAGAAGCGTAATTACTTACACAGGGATTAAGTGTTAATTAAACGCGCAGAATGCAATAAATAAACAGGATATTAAGCGTTCCTGCCAGCAGCTGCGAGGAATAGCCTTCGGCGAATTAACTGGGAATTCGAGCATTTGGGACATCTAGTGAGGGGTACAAAGGACCTGGGCGGTAATTAGTAGAAATGGTATTGGAGTATGAATTGGAATAGAAAAGAGTCTTCTTCGATAGATGAACATATGTAGAAGATATGAAAAATCTATAAAATGTATTTGATTTACAAAATCTATCAAAAAACTAAAAACGCAAAAAATTGATTAGCAACACGAACATTTCCTGAAACAAGAAATATATAAAACATGTCTGGAATATGTATGAGCACCCACCGTTTAGTAAAGATTTCTGAACTATCTCGTTTTGCAGCGAAATCCAAAAAGATTTCCTCCAACCGCGTTTGCATAATTAGATAGTCTTCAATGTTCAGTTTATGCGAGTTGGTTTCGAAGAGTTGGAAAATTCTAGCCAAAATGTTTGAGTGTGGTATATAGTAAGTTATCAGGCCATTATATTCCTCTTTGAGTTCGGCGTCAGGAATCTCTTTTAATATAAATCGATTAACCTTTAAAATTCGATCTGTTAGAGAGCTTTCTTTCACGGAAGCCCTTTGGAGAAACTTTGAATCCGTTTCTTGAATCGATTGCTTGTCAGTTGAGGAAGACGAATCTTCCACAACTCGCTGAAAGGTTTTCTTTTTGTGTTTGACTTTGACCTTAAGGATCAGGCCCTTCGAGTACTGATTCTTCAAGCTCTGCACCGACCCTATGCACTTGAATTCACCATCGACCATTATGGCCAATCGGCTGCACAGGGCCTCGCACTCATCCATACTGTGCGAGGTTAGAACAATAGATTTCCCGGCAGTACGAATCAGGCCTATTATACCCCATAGTTGTCGCCTTGCGGCGGGATCCATGCCACTGGTGGGCTCATCCAGATACAGAACGGATGGATTTCCCAGAACCGATATGGCGGTGCTCAGCTTTCGCTTGTTTCCGCCACTGTAATGCTTCGTTTGCTTATCCATGTGCTTGGCGAATCCGAAAGATATGGCCAGTCCCCAGCATATGGGCATCACATGTCGACGTTGCACTCCTCGCAGCAGACAAAAGATATTTAGGGTTTCGCGGCCAGTCAAATCCTCAAACAGTGCATCGAACTGCGGACAATAGCCGATTTTGCGATATACCTTATGCGTGGATATGTTTGTGCCATCCACGTAGGCTTCACCTGAGCTTATTTTTTCATCCCCAGCCAGCATCTTAAAGGTGGAAGTCTTACCAGCTCCATTGATTCCCAGAAGACCGAAGCATTCGGCGTGGGGCACGTGAAACGAGATGCCCTTTACTGCCAGTTTGCTTCTATAGCGCTTGGTTATGTTATAGACCAAAAGAGGTATATCCTTTCGTCCCGAGCTTATCATTTCCCGGACTACTAGTCGTTCCGCGACTACGTTCTCGTTCTCGACAGAGGATCCTCCGCCAAAACGCCTTCTCCTCGAAAAACAATTTCCCAATCGTTCGCCAATTAGTTTGCACACCTTGCCGTCGTGCACAACTAGGAGCAAAAATAATATTACGCCAACTAATATCATGTATGTGATTTCTGGCAGCACGCCAGGATTCTGCCAGCCAAAGTAGTCGGGAATATTACAGCAAATGGGCACGTTCCGGCAGAGCAGATCCTTGGGTAACTTTCTAATGCCGCCCATGCTGCAGCCACGCCGAATATTATAGCCAATGTGAATGCTGTGCGTGGAGCTGGCCAAGCTGTAGTGCGGAGATAGTCGGAAGTACCAGGCTAGTTGTTCGGCCACTGCCCTCAGCTGAAAGGCCTCAAAGTTCAGGGTCATGAACATCAAAAAGAGCCCAGTGCCGGCCAAGGTGTTTATGATGGATATGCGAGTGAAGCCAGTGGCAGCGTCGGAGAAGCATCCTGATGCAGCGTAGCTGAGCATAATGCCGGGAAATCCGAATACCAGCAGCATATAGAAGTAGCGACTCAGATCTAGCGGTGTTATGTAGCCAATCTCCTTGAACGCCGCAATGGTGAGTATGGCGGAAAGCGCTGAGAGCACAAATATTAGGTAATCCCAGACAATGTGACTTGTCCAGTAGGCACACACATCAACTCCGCTCAGAAATTGCAAGAGCTTGGCCCGAGTTTCTCGTTCTCTTATGATGGGTATCGCATAGAAGGCCGTGACGAAGCACATGGTTAGGGATAAATTTATAGCTATCTCGGCGCCCAACACTTGGCCTTTGTTCAGTCTTAAAGTCCTGGCATCATCGCTGTATGGCAAAGGCTCATTGGTTACGTAAGTAGAGGCATCCTGGCCGAGCAGTTTGATAGCCAGGGCGTTGTGCAATAAATTGAGCGTCAAAGGAGCCGTGTGCAGGGGCTTATTATTCAGCCACACAGTTAAATTGTCTTTTGCAATGGTGAGTCCTGCCAAGAAATGGAAATCTATTCGCCGGCTATAATTGCGGCCATAGCTCAGTATGTAGTCCTCAAACTTAAGACCGTTTGTCTGCATCAACGTGCATCTACCGCCGTAGTGCTCCAAGTGCTTCGAATAAAACACGGCTAAGGACGAGGGCTGGTCAGTAGTATTATCCTCCAATATAACATAGGCGAGGCTATACTGATTGATGGATATAGGCATAGCTGGTAGCTCGTAGTAAATCCTGCCACCTCGCGAGTTGAGTATCGTCAGGGACATGACTACTATGGGCAGGAGCAGCTGAATCCCCAGCAGCCAGTAGTTCCTGGTGGTGGTATAAAACTTCTTCAGAAAGAGCGCCTGCCAAAACATAAGACAACGTGAGATACGTCTTTTTTCCCTCGTTTTGCTATCAAAAACTAGCTCCTTGAATCGCGTGCTTCCGTCAGCCGGCGGCACTTCCGCTCCACCTCGAACCCTTTTATCGGTGCTGACTGCCATAAACACATCTTCCAAAGTGGCTCCACTCAAGCCGTAACCCACCAACTGTAGTTGGGCACACTTCTCATCCAAGTCCTGCAGCAATCCTGCAAACTTCTTTGCGTACTCGGTGGGCAGGCGATAGGTGAGTTCAGTTCCCAGCACTCGCTCCGGCGACAGGTGGGGAACGTACCTTCTTATCAACTGGGTTACGGCTGCTACATCACAGCCACTCTGCATTATACAGACCAGCAGATAGCCGGTGCCAAATCTCTTCTTCAAATAGAAGGAGGTGCCCTGGCACTGCAACTTTCCATCAGATAGGATGGAAATGCGATCGCCCAGGACATCGGCTTCATCCATATAATGAGTGGTCAGCAGTATGGTGCGTCCGTCCTTTTCGCTTTGCAGCAGATCCCAAAGACTCCTGCGTCCGGCTGCATCAATTCCAGAACTGGGCTCATCGCATAGGACCACCTTGGCATTTCCACATAGAGCACAGCAAAGGGACAGCTTACGCTTCATGCCACCAGATAGGTTCTTGGCAGCCACATATGATTTATCCTGCAATCCCAGCATGGTCACATACTTACCCACCTCGTTCTCCACCGCTGTGGCCCCACGAATGCCTTTCAGCTTGCTAAAGAATATAATGTGATCCCGCACACTCATGTCCTTGAAGAGTATATTATTCTGAGGGCAAATTCCCAGGGACTCACGAGCTTTTGCCAAATGGGTTCGTATATCATACCCGTTTACCACGGCCGTTCCGCTTGTGGGCTTAACTATACCAGTTATCATATTGATCGTTGTGGTCTTACCAGCTCCATTGTGGCCGAGCAACACGGTTATTTCGTTGCGATACATCTTTAAGCTGATACCCTTGACCGCTTTGTGTTTGCCATAGGTCTTTTGCAGGTTAAACAAATGAATGCCCACCTCTCTTCCACTTCGACAGCTCCTCACTTGACGTACGGCGGCTCCATGCTTGATGTTTTGGGCACTGGGAACTATATTCAAACTCGGCACGTATTTCCGCCAGTAATTTCTGTGGCACATGAAGTTCCAGCTACGAGGTACACCGTACTCCCCAGGGAACACCTGCTCCACATACAGGCAAATGGATAAGGACACTATTGATCCCAAGCTCATGGTCATGATTATATAAAACAGCGTGAGAGTATCATCCGCCGAGACGGGGTGGAACATATTCCTCCAAGTGATTCCCTCTCCGGTTCCTTCCCACATTACAATGACGTGGATGCCAAATCCCAGGGCCGAGTTCGAAAATATCAGCGAAATGAGCAGCTTACCCATGAGGCTGAGTCGTTCGTAATAATAGAAGCCAAATGAATAAGGTATGTAGGTCAGGAACCAGATGATGGCCGCCACTGCCGAGGCTGTGCTGGCCTTTGAAAATAGAACGGCTAGCATAAAGCACAGACACACGCTCGCAACCACATAGGTGTGCAGAAATAATAGCACCGGAACCCAGCTGGAAAACGAAAGTACGGCTACGGAGGCGTGGAACTTCACCATGATCAGGAACATGATGAGGAACACCACCAGCATGAGCATTACATAACTCTTGACGAACCACGCCACCCAGTGCAGCCAGTTGTGAACGCCGATCAATTTCATTATCTCCTTGAGCTGGAGCTCCTTTTCGCTGGTCACATACTTGGTCACAGTCGAGGCGGGATAGATGAAACTCAGCAGGATTACGAAGGGCAGCAGCTGCCGCAGGCCACTCAGCAACTGATCATAGGTATAGGCCCTGTAGGGAAAGCGGCGAAGGTGTATGCTTGGCAGGTCGTTGTCCTTGATGCCCGATGCCAAGGTCAGCCAGGACATGGTTAGTGCATGCTGAATGGGCAGAAAGCCCTCCCTAATGTATCCGACTGGAACTCCGCCATCGTTTTCCAATCTATTGCGCGATCCACTTGTGTCGTAGGACAGAAATAAACGGGACGTACGCCAGGTGTCTATAATGGGTCCCTGCATAGTTCGCAGCTCACTGGGAAATCGCAGCGAGTAGTTGAGATTAAGTGGATATCCTGCACCATTGGTTTGCACTGCGTGCTCTGCAAACTGAACTCCTGCCAAGAAGTTGTGCAATACCATATCCCGTTCCATGTGCAAGGCGGTGTCATAGGGTCTAGTGCCCAGAAGTCGCAGTCTTATCGCAGTGGCACTCACGATGGCACTATTGATGGGGTTGTTTGGAGTAAAGCAGAGGAAATTTCGGGGTATATTAAGGGATCCATTCTCGTGCAATATCCTGTTGCCAAGTGGCACCTTCCTCATGTAAAGGTTCAGGTCCGATATAGAGACGGTTGGGTAGCGGATCTCGTCCTTCTTTTCGGGCAGGACTATTATGCGCAGTATTAGAATGAGACATAGAAATAAAACTGGCAGCAACAGGGCAAATACAATTTGCATTTTTTGGTTCCACTGAAGAATCCAATTCTTCCACATAAGTAGCTTCAGCCTGTCCCAATCTCCAACGGCGTATACTTCACAGGCTGAAGACGATTCCCTCTCGGACTTCATTGCTTCATTCAGCAGAATAAATTAAAGGCGCCCAAGTTTTGAATAAATTTTCAATTTTCTGATTCAATTTTCTAAGCCGGGTCTTAGGTAAACAGAAACTGTTATTGGACTATATCTTTGTAGTCATACGATTTATACTCTTTGTGTATGTGCCATGATTTTGGCTAATTTAAATACTTTTCACATATTTCTTATAGCTGTTTTAAAACGATGTCGTTTGGTTTAATACTGCACACCTATTTTTTTGACCTATAAAGCTTGGTCTCAGCGCGCTTTTGGCGGTGATTAATGAGCACCCCGATCATGAGCTGGCTCATTAGTAATCATCTCTAACCACCACCCACTCGTTGCAGTTTACGCCACCTGCCACAACAGCACCACCAGCGGCAACTGGACCGCCTGCAGCAGGAGCTGCGGCCTTGGCACCGCCACGCGGCACACCACCACCCACGCGGGCTGCCATCAACTAAGCAATTTGCGGCTCTGCCAGAATCGCAGGTGCGACAAGGACGACCGCAAGGACAATAAGTGGAGCAGCAGCCGCCCGCTGACGCACAAGCGGAAGCAGCATCGCGCCCACAGCCACTCCCATCAGCATTATCATCACCACAAGGAGCACGAGGCGCAGGAGGAGCAGAAGGAGCACGAGGAGCCGGCCCACAGGATACGAGTGAGTGTCCTCCTAATGACGAAACACTTTTGCCACTTTGGGGAAATACCCACGAAACGGGTAGATCCGAGGTTTAAGGAGAGTCTATTTGAAAGTGCAGAAGCAAGTGAAACTTATTTTATCTATGTATTTGGATTATGATGTCAGAAATTGAAAGAAAAATATGTTTTCTTGATACCTCGGAACTTTCTCAGTTGAATAAATTTTTAATGGGAGATTAGATAGTTTCGGTTGTTTATTATTATTGCTTATATTCCTTTAATAATATACACTGGACATAGAATATTCATGTACCTGAATGAACAGCTATGCTCAAAGATGTTCCACTAATATCAGCCTTTTCAACTTATTTCCGGGATCGTGCTGTCGCAGAAGGGCCACGAGTGCCGGAGCATCCAGCGCCTAGGTCCTGCCAGGATACGACTGGGCGAGTGCGTTTCCCGAAAGCTGTATCGACCGAAGCTCTGTGGCCGTTGCCATCGCGGGGTCAAGTGCTGTGCCCCGTCGGTGTCCACCACGATACAGGTGAGTGGGATGTGGGCTGTGGGCTGTGGGATGGGCCTCCCAGGATACATATCCAACTCCTGCCAAGTGCCAACCGGGCTAAGACGGGCTGAGCTTAAAGTCCGCCCACCTGACGCCTGAGGAGGAGATATGAAAATCCCCGCGGATTGAGTTTGCTGCGTTTCCCTTCCTTTCCATTGCTCCTCTATTGCAGCTTGCAGAAATTTGCATTTTCCGCATCCTTGCTTGTTTTTCGACACTTGTCCTTTTCAATTAGATTACCGGTAATTTGAAACAATCCCATCGACAGCCAATCGACCATACTGTACTCATTACTTTTTCGTGAGAAAAGATCAAAATAGGTTTTATATATTATTATTTGCTGAGCATACCAACCAATTATTTTGTTGTGTAATCAAATCAAAATATCTTCACTTCCGACAATATTTTCCATCAATTTAACTTGTCTGCATAAGCAAATTATTATGAAATATATTATTCAGGCGTTACTATTAATATATTCTGCTGTTTGTATTGCCGCTCACCGCGATTTTTGTACTTTTACAATATTTGTTTATGCACTTGCCATAATTGAGCGCCACATTTATTTGATATTCGGAAATTTAATAGTTTTCCCTGCCGGTTATACCCAAAATACTATGGCACAATAGCGTTTGCTGTTTTGCTTATTGGCTCTCCCTTTTCGCTTCCTTTTACTTTTAATTAAAAGGTAAATGGCGTTAAAACGTCAATTTGCAGAGCTGCAACAACAAGAGCCAATGCCGAATCACGGCAAAATTAAAAGTCAAATGCTGCCCAGATGTCAAAATCAATTAAACACTTTCCACCCGCCCGCACTCAACGAAATGCATTTTTTGCAAGAAGTGGAAATCCTCTCTACTGAGATTTCGACATCCTCAATCTTTCTGCAAAAATTCTGTTTCCCCTTTATGCACTACCTTTTTTTTTCCTTCAGGTCGAGTTGCTGTGTCCTTTAAATGCTGTCGATCCAATTAACTACGTACAGCGACGTCAACCGAACAAAAAGAGGCAGATGAAGGAGCCCCAGGATGATGAAGATGATGATGATGATGTGGAGCATGAGCCGTTGCTGCAAAGTGCACAGTTATGGGACACGGTCGCCTTGGAGCCAATCGATCAGGAATTTCTGCAATCACACCAGATACAAATAGAGAATAAATTCATTGCCGTCGAATGGATACTGAAATGTGAATGCAGCACGAAGGTGAGTGAGTGTAGGAATTGGGTTTTGCATTTTTGGGCTGTTCTTGTCTTGTCTTCGGTGTTTTTGTGGCAGGAGGCCCATAATCGATGTCATATTACACTGGCCAACCGAATTCGCATGTCATTTGAGGCAATCATTCGGTTGGGTATCTACATCGGCATTCACTTTCCCCCTACGCCTTTCCCCCGAATTTTCCGTACCAGATGCACGAAAATTGCTTTCACTTGTCATTTTAATCGCATCTTTTGTTCCCCCCTTGCCATAGGAGATACCCTTTAGCTAGCGTGGAGCAAGGGAATGATGGGCTTTGATGAACAAAATGTCTTTAACATTTTATGATAAATGATTAACTTACTTTCACTTTAGGAAATACTCAATAAATTTAACATTTTAATGTTATAGAATAATCGATAAAAACAAAAATGTTTAAGCGAATAATTCCAAATAAGAACATATTTCAACAAATTTAAACGAGATAAGGACATCAAAAATATTTCAACGAGTATAGGGTTTCAGCATTTTTCTGGGTATCAACCAGTCTTCTCCTGTTAATCGCATTTATTTAGCTCTGGTTATTTCCCAGTCTATGCACAAATGTGTTTTTGTTTCCCCAAAAAAAATTATTGCTGCAATTTTTTTGTTGACTGCTTGGTTGCGAGGGGCTTCGTATTTCCCCTTCCTGCGGGTAAATGGGCCAAAATGGGTGGTGGCCAAAGAACGGAGGTTTTTCTGCGCCCAGCTGTCTGTTGTGTTTTCCCATTATTTTGGCGTATTCATCTTGAATGCCTTTGCCTTCGCCGCCCGTATGCGCTGTGCAATTGCAATGATTGGATTTTTATGAATACATTCATCAAAGGACCTCGCTCACTGCGCCACTGGCAAACTGAACGATAACATTTTGTTGCATACTTTCGGGCGGTAACTTTAAATCGCTGTGCGGGTGTGTGCGTGCGCTTGTGTGTGTTTGTGCGCCTAAGCTGGGGCTTTTGTTTTGCCTATCTTTGTTAGCTTTGAATGGGCATTTCGAAGCGTAGTCGAGCACAACAGCAGTGGATTGCCAAAATAGTTTTAAGAAAATTAGAAGCCACGGGCTGTAACTTTTGTTCGCGAATCGCTAGGTGAGCTTCATAAAAGTAATTTACAAAAATCAAAACTCCCTTCTTGATATTCCCGCACTCAATATTATACAATTGAAATTTTAATTGAAAGAGTAAAGTATAAAATGTATAGGGAAATTTAAATTTAAATTAAACAACTCAGTTTATATTTTTTTCTCTTATGCCGAAAGATTTTGCTGTAATATGTATAGCCATCAAAATACAATATTTTTAATTTCTATCTAAATCATCATAAACTACAATTAACTATGCAAATTTGTTTATAAGATCGGGTCGGGTCACAATTCTTGTATTTGTGTCAGCGGGATTGCATGCTAATTTTTACACGTGAATATCGAAAAACGAATGCTATTTTTGCTAGTGAGCGAAATTCGAGAGAAAGCCAGCACTCTCTTTTGAAATTCTCTTTCGCTCTCTTAGACTGATAAACATGCTTATATTGCAGCGTAGGCCTGCCAATTGCTTTATTCTCGGTTTAATTGCATTGACATAACATATCACCAACTCGCCGGAGCAACAGTAAAAGCCCTCTAATCAGTAAATGACGACTTATCGCCCACACCCATAAATATTCAGAGATAAAGAAAAAGAGGGCAAAAACTATAAACAATATAGGGAGAATGAGTGAAAATGAAAAATTCAGTTGTCAGCCGAACGTCAGGCATGAAGCACGGTCGGTTGTTATAAGCAATATTTATATATCCAATTTTGCACCACCATGAGTTCCGCGTCCATGCGTCCGCATAGTAAAATCGGGCAAACTGCTCGCATTGTGATCGTGGGTGCGGGATCCGCAGGAATAGCGGCTGCCACCCGGCTCCTGGAGCTCGGATTCCGGAATGTTCTGCTCCTCGAGGCGGAGGATCGCATCGGCGGTCGTGTCCACACGATTCCCTTTGCCGACAATGTCATCGACTTGGGCGGCCAGTGGTGTCACGGCGAGAAGGGAAACGTGGTGTACGACAAGGTGAAGGATCTGAAGCTCCTGGAGGTTACGGAGCCCCACTACGAGACCTACAGATGCGTTCGATCCAACAAAGAAGTCGTACCCGACGTCATAGCCGATCAACTAAAAACAGTAGCTGAAATGTCCATACCAGACAGGCAGACAGAGCTCCTGGACTTCGAGGGCACCTTGGGGGACTACATCAATATGAAGTACTGGAAGGAGCTGGCCAAGCTTCCGCCAATTGATCGTACCATTGCTGAGGAGTTCCTGGAGGTGTTTCACAAGTTCGAGGCCTCTGTGGAGGCGGCTGATCACCTGTTCGAAGTGTCCGGAAAGGGTCACCTGGAGTACTGGCTGTGCGAGGGCGAGCTGCTACTCAATTGGAAGGACAAGGGATACAAGAGATTCCTGAGACTACTCATGAAAGCCCAGGATGATCAGCCCGAAGATCTCGGCATCCTTAAGGGCCATGTGCGGCTCAACAGACGGATTGCCGAGATTAACTGGGAAGGACCTGATGAGCTCACCGTGCGTTGCTGGAACGGCGAGTTGATCACAGCGGATCATGTCATTTGTACTGTTTCCTTGGGAGTGCTAAAGGAGCAGCATCCGAATCTTTTTGTTCCCGCCCTGCCAGCCGCCAAAGTGCGCGCCATCGAGGGTTTGAAGATGGGCACGGTGGACAAGTTCTTCCTGGAGTATGAGAATCCTCCGCTGCCTGGCGATTGGCCTGGCTTCAATTGCCTTTGGCTGAAGGATGACCTGGAGAATCTTCGGGCTTCGGAACTCTTTTGGCTGGAGAGTGTTTTCGGCTTTTATCCAGTCTCCAAGCAGCCACGCATCCTGCAGGGCTGGATCATTGGCCCACACGCCCGGCACATGGAAACGCTCACCGAGGAGAAGGTCCTGGAGGGTCTGCTGTGGCTCTTCCGCAAGTTCCTGCCCTTTGAAACTGCCCATCCAGTGCGCATGCTGCGCACTCAGTGGCATGCGAATCCCAACTTCCGAGGCAGCTACACCTTCCGCTCCACCTACACGGATGCGATGAGAACTGGTGCCTGGGATCTGGAGGCACCGCTCCAGGATGTGGGCGGCAGGCCACGCCTCCAGTTCGCCGGAGAATCCACCCACAAGCACTTCTACTCCACGGTCCATGGAGCCGTAGAAACGGGATGGCGCGAAGCGGAACGATTGCACCGCTACTACCGGGCGGAAAACTCTCAGCTATGAGCTCACACCTGGGGATTCCGGATGAATGTGTTCCGAAGCTGTGAAATCAAGATTGGCCACAGGCAAGGGGCATGGATACTTAATACTTGTCTAGTCACAATTTATTATTGTGTTTCGTTCGGCCGTGGCGAGGAAAGTATTTGTGTGCCACAATAAACTAAATAACATAAAGGCTATGGTTCTCTTTGGATAGGCTAATCAGTTGAAGGTATTTACGAATTACACGATATGAAACAATAGAAAATACAATTAAGCGATACTCACACCGTTTAAGCAAAAGAGTAAGATAGTAAATGCTAACAATTAGTCAAGGCAAATATCTAATCGGTTCGTTGGGATATTTTTGGCACTTCGAGGGGGTTCTACCGAAATGGTCGTATCAATACTTGGTAACCGTTTTAAAACTATAATTAAACCTTTTATGTACTGCAAGATTAGATATACATTTTACATCTCACTTGTTGTTGACTACGGTGTTTGGTTTTAGCTGTAATAATATTTATCAATAAAATTTTAGGTAACTCCTACGAAATCAATATTTTCTGAGCACTTCAGTACTTATACTGTTGAAATCGAAATAAATTTACTGGCTTTCCACAGTTAATTTGTATTGTTCGTCCAATTTTAAGGTCTAAGCTGAAACACACATATCTGTACTTACAGTTTGGGTCTTTGTCGAGTCAGAAAAGCTAGAATAGGTTTCTTAAATTTCACGGCATCCAGTTGGTAGCAAAATTCAAACGCATTCTAAAAAAGCCGAAATAAAAGCCAACATGTTGACCAACTCATTTGCAGCGAACAGCAAACAGCATTGTAATTGCGCCTGTTTTTCGGAACATTTACAAACACTCGTTCCGAAATAGGGGTTGTGGGCGGTGGGTAGATTGCGGGGGCAGGGGGCAGGGGGCAGGGGCGTGACCACTGAGGTCTCACACATGCAAAAGTTCAGATTACGTGCGGAGTAGGGCAAACTAAAATCAGTTTAGCACATGCACCAGTATTTTGTGCTGCAAAAACGCAGTCCAAAAACCAACCAGGCCAAACCAGCCCTGGATGGCCACAGAAACCACAACTGTGCAACGGGAGCCAGGAATCAGGAGCAGCAGCGAATTCAGGAGCAGGATCAGAAGCACTGGCCATGTGATTTCACTGCACCAATGTCCCGGCAATTGCCGTCCGGCAAAAGCAGCAGAAGCACTTTGGCCGCCCATGTTGAAAATTCAAATTTATGCCAGCCGGGGCCAAAACATTCCAAATATCCTTGCTCGGCTCCATCCTTCTGTGACCAACTCCACCCATGCGCCAGCTTTCGACAGAAAGAAACTTTCTCAAGTCTCCTACAGCTCAGATTTTGAATAAATGGCCTTAGATTAATGCACTTTTACTTTAATTGAAAGGCAATGCAACTTTTTAAGCTTTAAATCCTTGAAGGTTTAGAATGTAGAAGCCCGTAAATTATAATTAGCCTAATTAGATATGCATTTAGTACTAACTAACTAATTATTCAAATGTAAATGGTTTACAGTCTGATTCTCATGTTGTTTGAAATAATACTATTTTGGGCTAATAGTATCTTGGGCTAAATGGAAGTTGAAGTTGAGTACTCTTGGAGTATTTTGGAGATCTATCGAGAAAAAGAATCGGCTTTTCTTTGCTGCCACTTTTTTCTTAGTGTATGTCCTGGCTGCCTTTGTGAGTCTGCATTTGTTTGTTTGTTTGCATGTCGCCCTGGTGGTCGTAGTCGCAGTCGTATCCTGCTCATAGTTCATCGCCCCCTTCCCGAGTCGCCACCTCTCAATTACATATGCGACTTTGTCGCCCTTCGAGGCGAAAGGAAAGCCCGAGTACAAGTTGGCCACATCTGTTGTAGCTTTTCCGCTGACCCTGCCCCTTTCCGTGTCTGAAATCCCAGTGCCGATCCCTCGGTTAATGCGCTGCAAGAGCGTCAGTCGCTGGTTCCGTTGCCTTTGGTGTCTAGCCAGCCGGATACGTGGTTTTTCTACCTATGCACTGAGAAAACAAGGGCTCTAGAAGAAAAAAGCGTCATTTCTAGCTCGAAAAAGGGAGCTCCCTCCACGAGCTTAATGCTTCAAATAACTTGAAGCAAAATAAAATTGCTAGTAAATACATAGAGAACAATTTACGAAATATTTCAGCAAGTACTAAGCGCTGTCTTCGGAAACTTAAAAAAATGTGCAGGATATCAAGGACATTAGGCTTCCTAAGAATGCCAAATAGAAAGAAGCTGACAGCCACTTGAGCTATAAGTTGGTGCCGAATAGCAACTATTTTTGCTCAGTGCCTCCATGCTCGTCCACGTGCTCCTGACTCCTCGAGTGACAATGTTAAACAAGTCTGTGTTTGACCAAAGGACACACATTTGCCTAGCTAGCGGAGCAGTCGTCCTGCTCCTGTTGCCGTTTCTGTACTTCGCCCGACTTGTGTTATGGCCCAGGTAATGGTTGTTATGACTGGCAAAGTATTTCTCTGTGTTTGCTGATTGCGATGGCGAGGGGAACGGGACTGGGCAAGTGGATGTCCATCGAGATGGGGATAGGGTGCAGTACAGTGAGTGGCTGACAGGTGGAGCCAGCTCACTTCACGTGGTTGCGAGTGGAACATTCGGCTTAATTGCACAACTAACTCACTTGCGCCGGGATTAAATGGGTTTAGTTTGGATTCCTTTATGCGGAGGCACGGGGCACGCTCTGCATTGTGTAGATTAAATTCCTGGAAATTCTGGGTATGTATTAAGGTGTGCTATTTGCATTGCAATTTTAAGTGGGTGCTAAAATGATACATATATGAAAAACGTACTTACAGTGGTATCCAATCTTTTAAAGAGGGAACTTAGAACCTTTTAGCTATTCAATTATTTGCGCTGGGCTGCTTTATTCCTCAAAATATTAAAAGAAACAATGTATAATGTGATTATATCTTTTGGAAAAATAAACTAAATTAAAGTTGCTTAAAGTTTACTTACATTTTCAAATGATTTAAATTCGAAAATGTAGTGCAAGTGAACGACAGGTTGAATGGATCCCATTTAAGAGCTTGGGACATCGCCTTAGTTTGCAGCTCGTGCTTCGTAGAATTCATGGAGTCGATCTGCCTCGCGCCATCCCGATTCAGTGGCTCCGTGGACCGTAGAGAAGTGATTCCGGCTCGTAGCCTCTCCGGCGAATTGGATCCTCGGTCTTCCATTGACATCCACCAATGGCGATGCCAAATCCGTGCGTCCCGTACGGAGTTCATCAGCGTAAGTGGGGTAGAAACTATAGCTGCCACGGAAGTTCGGATTTGAATGCCATTGAGAGCGAATAAAGTTTTTTGGATAGGGTATGGGGAACTTAAGGAACTTCCTGAAGAGCCACATGAGTCCCTCGAGGACGTGCTCCTCGCTGATGGTTTCCATGTACCGCGCGTGGGCCCCAATGATCCAACCCTCCAGTAACCGCGGCTGGCCGTCCACACGATGAAAATAACAGATACTCTCCAGCCAGAAGTACTTGCCATTTCGTAACTCCTTGAGGTCTTCCTCCAGCCAAAGGAAGGTCATTTCTATAATGTTGTCCGGCACTGGCTGCTCCTCGAACTCCAGAAGGAACTTGTTCACGCTCCCCAGCTTGAGACCCTCTATGGACCTGATCTTGGAGGCTGGAAGAGCTGGCACAAAAAGCTTCTGGTGCTTTTCCTTCAGAACTCCCAATGAGACAGTACAAATCACATGATCCGCTGAAACAATTTGACCGTTCCAGCAGCGGAGAGTCAATTCACCATCTCCTTTCCAATTGATCTTAGCAATTCGTTTATTGAGGTGCACGTGTCCCTTAAGAACTCCCAGGTCCCCGGGCTGATCCTCGCTAGAATTCAGCAGGACACTCAAGAATTTCCCAAAGCCCTTTTTCCAGCTGTATTGATCCCCACCGCTATTAGCGAAGTTTCGAAAGTTTCGGGTCGAAAGCTCGGACAAATTATCGCAGGCCTCCATGCTGCAAAGTATCCTCCTTAGGCAGTCCTGGGCCTCCTTTGCAATGGAGCTATCACTCGATACCAGCTTGTGGCCATCCTCCTTCCAATATGCATTGAAGGCATCACCTACCGAACCCTCATACTCGTCAGGCACATCGAATTCGTTTGTCAATTTCATAAGAGCCTTGTTTTGTTCGTCAGTGAGGATTTCCTTGTTGGAGCGAATAAATTGAACGACAAAGTCGTGGGTCTTGCCTAGGAGATTCAGGTCCTTAGCCTTCTCATAGACCACATTGCCCTCTTCACCATGGCACCATTGGGCTCCCAGATCGATGACGCTGTCGGCAAACGGGATCGTGTTGATGCGTCCTCCAATGCGGTCTTCCGCCTCAAACACCAAGACATTTTTGAATCCTTGCTCCAAAAGTCTGGTAGCAGCTGCTATTCCCGAGGCCCCCGCTCCGATGATGACGATCCTGGCCGTCTCCTTGGTTCTTAAAAAAGCAGTTGCTTCTGAGCATGCACTCATGTTTGAAGGAAAGGGCTAATTTACTTGGTGGATTGCTCAAGCTGACTTAAATGCTGAAAACCAAATTGCGATGTAATGTTTGGATATGCAGGCTTTTATAGGTGTGTTTATCTTTGCATTCGTATCAAATTAGTGCTTGCCCTTTTGCGGTTCCCATTATCTGTTTAAACATTGTGCCCATTTACTATACCCTTTACTCGTAATTTAAATGGGTATGCTGATTCGTTTCCAACCCTATAAGGTATATATATTCTTCTTCAGGGTCAAACAAATATTCATTTATAACATAACAAATATACATACCAAAATACTTAGTCCCTCGGACTTCTTTCGGCTGAGCAACGGGTATCTGATAGTCGAGGAACAAGATAAAGTGTTCTCATTTGATTAATACTTTTTTGCTTCCTACTTACGTACTAAGAGGAAACACACTTTGTGTTTAAATCTTTCATTGGACATCTTGGCTCTTGTAAATGCATTCAGTGAGCATTCTTTATAATTGAATGACAATGAATTTACTTTTCCTTTTTCAAGATCATCGTTTTCAGGAGCATTTTGCGGTTTGAGTGGTTCCTTATCAACCTAACACGCAGAAACCACTTTACTAACTCGACTGCAACATGTAATCTGTCAACACAACTGATAATAAGTGCACTAGACAATGCTTATTTTTATCGATAATAGTAGTGCTCTACTATTAAGGTAAATAAATACACCACAAGTACAAGTACATTGGCAAACTAATTGCTGAACAATAATTAAAACGCGCTGCATGCCAACTATTTGAAAAAGAATACAATTTCTTTAGCGATGGGGGACAAGAATTTAATTAAGCTTCCATTAAATGGAATATTTTCAAGCCACAAAATTTATATTAAAATTTCATACGGGCTTCCCCTCTTCTCTGTTCCGCCCCACAGAATTGCAACGCAGACAGCAGCAACATCAGCAGCAACGTAAACGACAATATGGCTAACACGAATAAATATGGTTATTACAATTACAAAAACAATAACAACAACCGAGGCCGGAACCACGAAACTAATGGCGAACCAAATGAGCCGACCAACAACAATGCCGCCAACAACAAGGACAACGAAGAGGATGTGGTCGACAGCGGCAACAACCTCGACCACAACGACGTGGATGTGGATGTGGACAACATGTCCTCGGAACAGCAGCCGGATATAATACCCTATCCGCCAAGTGTGGGCGAATCCAGTTGGAAGGCCGAAAAGCTGCGGCAGCAACAGCAGCAGCACTGGCTGCAAAACACATAGCGTAAGCGAATCCCGCGCAAGTTATAGGATGGAACTCGATCGGCGGAGGGCAAGGATATAAGGCAGTTAAGGCAGTTAAGGCAGTTAAGGCAGTTAGAGAGTAGAGTTAAGATTTGTACAGCATAGCGATACTTAAGGCCCCAAGGACGGTTAGGACTGTAAGGGGAAGTGGGAGAGGCGATGCAAGTAATAATAGGATTTGAACATATCGAGGCAGTAAGTTTATTTATGTGAACGATAGGGTTAGTACTAAACCAAGGGCAAACAACAAACGCAGGCCGAGTAAAATATAATAAACAATATTTTTGCAAGCATCTATACACAGCAACAAACGCGACAAACCAAAGAAAAAAAGAAGACAGAAAGAAAATTGAACATTTTCAGAAGATCATTGAAATGGAATGCTGCCCCATAATGACGTACGTATATGGTAATAATAATTTAAATAATATACGAGCATATGTAAAAGGCTTAAGCAACCCAAAACCAAATGAACAAATGCGAAGTTCGTGTGCATTCAAGTTATAACTGTGCTATATACTCACTTGTATTCCGATCTACACGTACGCCTAAGACTCTGCTTGAACAAAGAATTTAGCTGGATGCAAATGGACAAGGCCAGGATCCTGGTCATAGTTTCGTTAACCCCCAACCACACATATCCCCGGAAATATCCCGAATCGAGTTCTCTGATTTAGGTCATGTGTCGAGCGAGGCTTAGCCATCACCCATATCAAATGTATCGATGTAAGTCAACTCTTAGCTAGCGTCAGAGTTATCCGTGTGCAGGCGAAATTCAGAATAAATTAAATGCGAAAATATTAAACGCCACATGAGTTATTTACTTAAAAGGGGGTTATTAACAATACTTCTGCGCCACGACGTCCTCGATCCACTTGTCCCACTTCTCCAGCCACTTTTGGTATGCCACTCGCTTTTCCTCGCCGCCCAGGGCACTGTACCGGATGGAGTTGATGGCCAGGCTTTTGAGGAACCGCAGATCCGCCTTCATCGGTGCAATGCCCAGGAAGGCGAAGTAGAAGTCGTGGGACAGCGGAGCACAGCGCCAGAAGGATGGATCGTCTGAGGAGATAACAATGGGCACATTGGCGGCCAACAGGAGCGCCGCCGGATGATTCCGATAGTCCACGCCCAGTTGGAGCACCTGATTTGACACCGGACACACCTCGATGGCGATGCCCAACAGTTTGGCCAATCGCATCATCATCGGATGCTTGGTAAGGGCGTATCCATGGCCGATCCGTTTCGTGCCCAGCAGGATGGCGTCCACCAGGTTCTCATCGATGGGCGATCCAAACCAGTTCGTCTCGCCCGCGTGGAAGTAAAAATTAATGTGCTCGGGCATTTTTAGCAGAGGCTCCACAAAATCAATCAGCGGTCGCCCCAGCTCCTCTTGACCAACCAAATCAAAGCCAACCATAAAGCTGGGGAATTCTTTCTGTTAAAAACGGGAAATTACTTAGTAGACTTAATGGCGTATGATTACTGAAAATATACCTATTAGGGAACTATAAAAAATGTATTCTAAGCAATTAACGAAGTCGATAAACTTACATTGAGTTCGACAGCTGTCTTCACATATTGCTCGACCACACTGGGCTCCACTCCTCTGAGAGGGGCGTATATCAGCTTGGAGCCAATAAAATCTGGATGGTCGGCCTTGAAGCGTTCCAGCTCCGAGTTGTAAATGGCCACCGTGTCCCGGACGGTCAGCATATCGCCATCGAGGCAGTACAGAGGCGGGAGCAGGGATCGCAGTTCCAGATATTGAACTCCGTCCTCGGCAAACTCCTTCAGGGCATTGTAGTAGTAGTCGGCCCAAATGGGGGCGTGGCAGAGCAAGCCGTCCAGCAGAATAAAGATGCCCATGAAGTGGGCCCAGGCTTGATTGTTTGAAACGAACTTGGAGAAGGGATACATGCTGAATCGACGCGTAAGATATTTGGCCACATTCTTTTCACCTCGCCGCTCACGGAACTCTGCCATTGGCTCCCAAATACAATCCTCCACTGGTTTCGTCGTGGGCTTCTCTTTGGAAAAGCGGAAAGCAATGGCCTTGCAGCCCTCCTCGGCGGTGCAAATCGAAAGATTCTCCCGGTAGGTCAGACTTATGAGGTAGGCTGTGCTGCAGAGCGCCGTATCGTGGGCATGAAGCACGCCGCCCTTCGGCATCCCCTTAATCAGGTTGAAGATCGGCGACTTTTTGACCTCGGTCAGGGTCTGAAAGATATGCTGACCCGGCGTGAATTTGCTGGGATCCAGTATGCCCTTGGATATCTCTTCCTTCTTGACGGCCATGATCACCTTGTTGGCCGCCAGTTCCCGTTCGCTGAGCCTTATCTTCTGGCCCATGATGCCCAAGTGCCCCACCTTGGCGATGGCTTGTCGCAGTGTCTTGAACGCTGTGGGTGACAGTTTCCGCAGGGAGCGACTTACGGACACCGTAGTGTGCCCAATTTTGGCACACTTGCTCAATGCGCGGCGAGAGGTGATGGCCACATGTCTGATGGCCGTCATATTCGCTTGAGCTCCCTTGGCTGGCCACTCTATTTGGCCAAGGGTTTCATGGGGAATTTAGTTGGGGTTTCGTTAGCCGAACATGAGATTTACACAATTTATTTACCCTGCGAAATGTGTCACGCCGAATGTGTCAATAGGCCGCACATTTGTTTGCGCCCTCCCCCATTGCCGTTATACACAAAATGGCGACCGACGCATTTCCGCTTTAACACTAAAGCCGCGACCCCGTCAACTACACACATGCGGCTTTTATTAGTAATTTATGGCCTCGTTGGATCGCGGACTGGGTTCAGGCATCGCTTTTTATGCATCCGCGCGCCCTCAACACCGCATTAAATGTGCACGACATCAAATTGATGAGGCTGCCACGGCCGGCGGCAGATAGAGCGCCAGTGATGCCGATTTGGCGTTTTTCTTTTGTATGACCAAACTGAAATTACACAAGAAATCACATTTAAAAACATCTCACCGAAAAATGGGCTCAATAAGGCAGAGTAGGCGGCACTGTTCAAAATCGCCAAATGCAAAGATGTCATCTACACTATATATATTATGTATGTACCTGCGCAGACCAATACAACGTTTTGTGCAATTAGAACTGAGCCCCATCCATTTTGCATCGATCCTTGGGTTCCTAAGCACCTTTTCCAGCCAAACACAATGCGTTGATAAGAAGAGGTGGCAGCACCAAATGCCTCATCCACACACTCTTGCGATGGCCCATCAATTTTACGGTCGCATACATGTGGCAGGACCCAGCGCGACTGCATCCGCCGCCGGCCCATAAAACTCCTACAGCTCATTACGGACTCCAGTCAAATCAAAATCGAACCCAGTGCCAGCAGCCGCAGCACTAAACAGTGGCACGTAAAATTGAAACATTTGCAGGATTCGGATGGCTCGATCCGCGGCTCAAAGGAGGCCGAGTGATGAGTGGTTATGTGCGGACGTGGCGCTGGAGGAGGCTGTGGACGTGGAAGTGGACGCCACATAGCGCATATTCATTAAAATTCGCATCCACTCTTCTGCAACCGACGGCAATGAGAGATTTATGCGGGCTTGGTCTTGAGTGCAATCCCGGAATGGAGATGTCATCGTGACTGCAAGCTGCGGATACTGGGTGGGTTGCATGCAAGATTGGTATCCACGGAAATTAATTATCCAGTGATTAATACTGTCTTGTGCTTAATTGGTATTTGTTACCTCGTGGAAACCTAGCAATCCCAATCCAAGTCGCTAAAATCTTACATATACTGCAGGTTTTTACTTCGTACAGACACAAGCTTATTGCATTGTGCAAATTGGCATTTGATGGAAGCAACTTTCCTCCAAGAATCTTAGCTTTGGAGCCCCTCACGTTGCCATCTCCGAGTGACTCCAAACCGCATGGCTGGCTAACTCATTACGATTACGTTCAGGCTTCTTTGAGCTTGAACATAAATTGCATGCACTCTTGTTTCGGCTACGACTAAAACGGCTCCTTTATTGCTTTTGGATTCCTTCGGCCGCAGGAGAGGATTTCAGCCTGCAAGCGATTCGGGGGCGTGGCACAGAATCCCATGGGCGGAAAGGAAAGTATTAGTCTAGGTCTAACTAAAGACTAGTCCATAACAATTAGCTTACAACGATGGTTAGATATCGAGGATGAGGGCATGGATATGGCTGTGAGTGGATGCGGATGAGGATGCGGTGCCTGGGACCCGCTGCAGCCGGTGGTCGGGTTGGAGTGGAGTGCTGGAGCAGCGGGCGGAGGGGTGTATTCCGACTAGCGCCAAAGGTTAGAGGTCATCAGGGAGAACGTAACCAGCAACGCTGCCACCACCCGTGCTAGTCAATCGATCCGCTGACCGGGTGCTCCCCGGCTGGGAGCTCCCCCCGTTTCGTTGATATCGGCGATGAACTGGTCCCACTTCAGCTGCCACTTCTCCAGCGCCTCGAACTGGGCGTCTCCCGTCAGCGAACTGTATTGGATGGAGTTCAGGGCCAACTTCTTCAGCAGACGCAGGTCAGAGTGCTGCGAGGCGATTCCCAAGAAGGCGATATAGAAGTCGTGCGAGAGGGGAGTGGCCTTCCAGAAGGAGGGATCATCGGAGGATATGACCACCGGATAGCCATCGGCAAAGAAGTGCGAGCACGGATGGTTGCGGAAGTCAGAGACCAGCTGGAGCACCTGATTCGAAATCGGGTTGACCTCAATGGCCACATTCAGTTTTTTCAGCATGTCCAGCACCACGGGATGTTTGACCAGTCCAAATCCATGACCAATACGCTTGGTGCCCAGCAGTATAGCATCGATCAGGTTCTCATCCACGGTGGAACCGAACCAGTTGGTCTCTCCGGCGTGGAAGTAGAAATCAATGTCCTCGGGGATAGACAATAGTTCGTCCGCAAAGTCCCTGAGAGGACGTCCCTGCTCCTCCTGGCCCACCAAATCGAAGCCAGCTACAAATTCGGGGTATTGTCCCTATCGATGGAATCAAATGTTAGGACCACACCTCTAAGCCTTGAATAAATCTCACCTTGATTTGTTTTAGGGTTTCGATGTAGCCAGTTACGCCCTCTGCATTCGTATTGCGTATGGGAGCGTAGATCATCCGGGAACCAATAAAATCTGGATGAGACGCCTTGAACTTCTCCAAGGTTGACACGTAGATGCGCACAGTGTCCAACGGAGTGTACTCAATTCCATCCATGTCATATAGCTGCGGAAAAAGCAATAGTACTGTACAACTTGCAATAACGTTTGGTTTGACCACAATTTCATAAAAGTGCTAACCCAGTGGTGTACAGCTTGTATAGCCCCCATAAATATGGTCTATGATCTGCTTACCGTGGGCACAACTGATCGGAATTCCAAGTATAGGACACCATCTTCGTAGAACTCCTCCAGAGCCTTGTAGTAGTAGTCCGCCCAGACGGGCGCGTACATCACCAGGCCGTCGAGCAGATTGAAAATGGACATGAAGGAGGACCAGGCGGCGTTGTTGTCTTCGAACTTCTTGGTGGGATACAGGGTAAGTTTCTCGGCCAGATAGTCGTCGACCTTGTCGGCGCCGTACTTGGCTCGCACATCGGAGAGCAGACTCCAATCGCAATCAGTCAGGGCCTGTGGCTTCTGCCTGGAAAACCTTAGGGCGGAGGCGCTGAGATCTCCATCCTGCTGGCAGGACCAGAGATTCTCGTAGTAGGTCAGGTTGATGATGGCCGCTGTGCTGCAGAGCGCCGTATCGTGGGCATGGAGCACTGCGCCCTTGGGCATTTTCTTCAGCAGCTGGAAGAGATCGG